CTGCCACAACACATGAATTAAAAACCCAAACTTGCGAACCTTTTGTCTTTTTTAAGAAATATGTTTCGTTTTGTAATTTACTTTTCTGTTGCAGACTTTTTGTCCTGGGATTTTTTCTTTTTTGTGGTGGACATCTGTCAAGCACACCCAGACAGACAGACAGACAGACAGATACAGAGAGAGAGAGAGAGAGAGATTACCTGCTCAAAGAGTTCAAACAAGAAGTTGGAGGATGACCTTCATAGCTGTCAGATCAAGAGGCCCTGGGGGGATGACCTTCACAACTTGCAACAGAAGGAGGGCTGTCAACAGCAGGAGGGAATGTGTGTCACCCCAGCCGGTATGGTCACGAGACGGAGGTGTGAACCGCTGGACGAAGCCTTCCTGGTGTGTGACAGTGATTATGGTGGGTCTTCAACGCGTCATTCTCCATCCATCCATCACCCTCCCCCACAAAAAATTACTCTAAACATACATAAAACTAAACCTGTATACACGATTATTTCCAGAGATAATAAAAATATCGCCAACGTGATGATATTTCCACCTCTCATACACACACACACACACACACCATACACACACACACTCATACACACACACACACACACACACACACTCATACACACACACACACTCACACACACACACACACACACACACATTCTCACACGTAATTTGTCAACGCCAGTGTAATTCGATCGATCTGAATGTGATGTCAGTCTTTACAATACGATTTTTTCTTCGCCTTTAGATTATTATCAGTTATAATCTAAATATTCACAATAATACCTTTAGACTACTTCTTCTCTGTTACCTGTTAGCTGCTCTATACCTGTAATCAGAAGACCTAGTTTTCCTGAACGCGTAGGTAACACTCAGAGCTGATCATAATGTTTTAAAGATGGAATGACAATGAGGAGTGTTGGCAGCAAATGAGTTCTGGGGTGTGGTGTGGTGTGGTGTGGTGTGGGGTTGGGGTGTGGTGGGTTGGGCTGGGGTGTGTGTGGGTGGGGTGGGGTGGGTTGGGGTATGGTGTGATGTGTTTTGGTGGGTTGGGCTGCGGTGGGTTGGGGTGGGGGTGGGTGGGGTGGGGTGGGTGGGTGGGTGGGTCTTGATCGTTTCTATCTACTCATTCAATTTCATCAGTTCTGGTGTCATTCATCTCTTCACTCACTTACTCACATGCTTCTACCTTAACCGGTAAGTGGCCCACTTTCTCACACCGGGATTCCCATCATCAATGTCTTAATAACTTAATTCTCTCTCTCTCTCTTTGCATCCCTTATTCATGCATATACCCTTTAACTCCCGAAATCTCTATATCCCTCCTTCCTTCCTTCCTTTCCTCCCTCCCTTCTTCCCTCCCTCTCTCCTCATCTCACCGCACTCAAGAACTCCTTCACGATGGCTCGGAATCTTCCCACGGTTCAGCTCAGTTCTGTCTAGTTTCTCCTGAGTGTTTCCCACCTGTTGACAACCGTATAAATATCTCCCATCCATTTTATCGCCGCTATCATGTCGTTTCATCTTCCATAGTTACCCCTTTAATGACGACGCAAGTTTTTTTTTAATAATCACTTCAGTGTCTGTGTCTTGTTTATCTTAATGTAAGGTAAACAAAAACAGGAAAAATTTTAAGCTTTGTGGGAAACAATATGAGACCACGGACGTATTTTCTTTTGTCTTTGTTTTAATATCCCCGTTTTATAGTGTACTGAACTCAAACTAACTAACATAACTTTCCGTAATTTACCTCAAATTTAATGTACGATTATTAGATTTGCTTGAGTTAATTTGGTTTATACAGTATTAGCTTTTATAAATAATTTAGTTCCGTAGTCCAACAGTCACCATTTGTAAACAAGGGATTCGACAGTCGGCGCTGCTCTTAGTACGGAACATAACATAATATTTCAAAGTAAGTTTATATTATTTTAACTAGATATCCTGTGGTAGATTCTTTCAAAGGTAAAGGTGGCACAGACGGTTAGCACCAGAAATACCTTATAGAATTGAACCAAAATTTCTGAAGATACTATTTGTATGATAAATAACACGAAAATGGAAACAAGAATGCACAGAACCTAAGGAGCCTGACCTAACCATCCCAACCAAAGAAACCTACCTAACCTTACCCAGACCCCCGGCAAATTAAGCGCAAAGAACTCACTTTGATATCTGGTTCCAATGAAAGCAACGATCTTGAAGCGGCAGGGTGAAATTTGCTTTCTTTTTTATGTGAGAATACGATCGGTTGTTGCACTGAAACTCATATTTCTCCTTCACTGTCAGTTCTCTGCTGCATTTTGAACATTTGCACGTCCTGCCAACTAGTCCATGTTGACAGATGAACTCTTGCAGACGGTCTTCATCCTCCACAAGCACAGATAACAAGTGATAACGCCATTGAAATATATTAAGGTTATCTTTCTCTCTGTTCTCCTCCTTGAGGAACAACAATAAATATGCTAACATACAGTTCACTTATTAATCAATGCAACTCGTAAGATGTTGGAAATGAATCAAAACCCAACAATATGGGTTAAGAGTCCAACTATATGAAGCCTCATCACTTATAAATAGAATAGGTATTAGAACCTTTTGAGCGAATAGAACAAAATATGTGATTTGCGCAGGTCATAGACTCACGACTCTGAATAGTGACGCCTAAAACAAAACAAAAAAGACAATCAATCCTATATTTAAGGTAATAAACCTCCTGATATGAGGCTCAGTCGTTTATTGACAAGTTAAGCGAGACCTGAATCATAATTTATTTGTTTTCGAGCGGATGACAGCACGCGCTGCCACGGCAGAATTTTCTGCTGAATGTTTCCGGTTAATTTTAATTTATTCGCGTACAAAGCACGTAGAGACTTGATTTTAGAGTCCAATGATAAATTTTTCGCCGTGTTTTTACCCCGAAATTTCCCTCATCCTTCATGCCCTGCCCACTAAAAGTGATTTATGGTCGTAGATAGAGAAAAGGGAAAAAATAATTATAATTAAAATAAAAATTTTTACGCATTGATTTTATTAATTAACATCACCCAAAAAAAAATATGTACGAATTTTACAAACACATTCAGGTGCTAACCGTCTGCTCCACTCTTACCCTTTCAAACACCACAAAATAAATCGTAAGAGTTTCTTGTTAAAAAATATACTAAATGAACGTAGACATAAAACAGTGTAGTATGACCCCACGTCGCCTCATTTTTTTTTAATTCCTTAAATATAAAAAAAAAACTCCATTCAGAAGTATTTCAAGTCATTCTCGCCATTCTTAATTCACCTTAAAAATCACCAAAGTCTTTATTTCATCAAACCTGTACTCTTTACTATACTTTCCAACCTCTTAACAATACCTATCAAGTTTCTCCGAGTCTTCAAGTTTCTCCACGTTTTCTTTCTCATGATGGCTCCAGGGTAAAGAACGTTCATTACAGCCAAGCTTCTCACATGTACGCTAAAAGAAAAGTAACCATTATAATGTTATGTTTACGTAGACAAGAAGTGAGAAAGTGGGGAGACGTGTGGCCAGGAAGGTTTTACCAGTGGGAGCCATATGTAAACAGATGATCTTAATGACAACAAGGCGTAACCATGACTACCCTTTGTATTAAATAATTATGGTAGGGAGGTGCGTGATATTAATCTATCTATCTATCAATCTCATTTTCTCTTTCTCTACCTGTCTGTTTCTCTCTCTCTCTCTCTCCTTCTCTTCCATCTGTCCTGTGTCTCTTTCTTTCTCTACCTGTCTTGTTTTATAGATAAATATCCCAAACATTACCTCTAATTAGTGGATGGACTCTCCCGGATTTCGGTCATTCGTTCAGATGAGATTAGAAAGTGGACAGGTGATGATTTTTTTGTAACTCTTCGTGTAATTGTGTGGAAGATTTCTTTGGGAACAGACGAAAATGCAGTAAATTGCTGTGTTGTTTGTGGAGCGATGGACTGTAGTGAAACTTGTGTAGACAGGTGTGATAGGATAGTGATGACGTACTTACAGATAAGGTAATAAAAGTCGCTGAATACTCTCGTGTCAGCCAATCATATCTTTATACGTCATTAACGCCATACTCACGTTAGCCAAGCATGTTACCCTCCGTCATAAATTCAATACTCACGTTAGCCAATCAGGTTATCCTACGTCATAAATTCAATACTCACGTTAGCCAATCAGGTTATCCTACGTCATAAATTCAATACTCACGTTAGCCAATCAGGTTGTCCTACGTCATAAACTCAACCTAACGTCACTCCCCCTGGTAGCATTAGGTTAGGTTAATCTCCAGGTAATCCGACATTTCGCAGTTGATTCAAACAGCTATAATAACACCCACACAACACGCACACACAACACCCACACAACACACACACACACACACAACACCCACACACACACACACACAACACCCACACAACACACTTGGACTCATTGTCACGCGGAAAGACCACAGTAATAGTTATAGTCAAAGAAGGTGGTCACCCTCTCAGTGGCTGCACCTGACACACACACGCTTCTTGACTTAGTTTCACGTACTTGGCACCACTCACACGGTCAGGTATAATGATCACACCTGTACTGCACACCTGAACATCTCTACTGGAATTTATATTACTTAAGAAAGTTTCCGAGTTCGATTATATTCATTATATTTACCTGTGTGTCACCTGTATCTTACCTGTGTGTTACATTACCTACCTTTACCTTACCTGCCTAACCTTACCTATATCTTACCTTACCTGTCTCTTACCTTAACTTCGCTTTACCTTCACACACTACTATTACTACTACTACTACTGCTACTACACACACACACACGCACACACACACACATTAAAAAATCTTTTCAGGAAATCTACAATGAACGTCAGAAAAATATCAGACTCGCATTCCAAACATATGGTGAATAGTTACGTCGCCTGTTTGGTTGTTTCCGGAAGTGGTAGTGGTGGTCAGGTGTGTGTGTGTGTGTGTGTGTGTT